CGCCCTTAAAACACCATTTGCAACAGATGCAATGCCATCAAAAATTTCTAGAACAGCGACCAATGGATTAAATAAGGCAACAATTAATTCAGTAACACCCTCGTCTTTTGTAAACAACGTGGCAATTTGTCTTTTGAAAGTAAATAAAATGAGGAAGTTAATATTTCCTGCGATTACAGATAAAGCTAAACTAGCTTTAGTTGCCATTTTGGCAGACGCCATGTTTTGCCCACCTATAAAATTTGCGATACGCGTAGAAGCAGCAATGCTTATAGCAAATGGGACCATGTAAGATAAAGATGCGATACTCAGTACCGCACTCTGAGCTGCTAATTCAGTAGTACCGAAATAGGATGCAAATAATGTCATGATTTCGTATGCCATATATTCTGATTCGATCATGACAATGCCTGGAATTGCCAAGTGTGAGAGACTTCCCCATTGTTGAAACATTTCTTTTATCGGTGCGATTCCATACCAGCATTTATCACCGTCAACAAACATGACGTACATTACTAGTAAAAAATCAATAAACCAAAAGTTGATTACAGTTGCGATTGGTGCACCGATAAATCCCAAGCCAAAATTCTTATTCCATACAAGGAATGTTGATAATAGCACATTAATTGGAAGACTGATAACTAAGATTCCTGTTCCTGCTTCAAAAATTCCTTGAGCTTGTAAGAACCGCTTACTATTTTCAAATATGATATAGGCTGGCGCCCCAAGTATGAAGATTCTTAAGAATGAACTTGTCAAACGTAAAACTTCCTCGCTTTCAATAATGAACTTCAAAACGCTTGCTGAATACCACCATAAGAATGCACACGGTATGTACACCACAAATGAGAACATTATACATCTCTGAACATGAATACCCACTAATTCATAATTACCAGCACCATATGCCTGAGGACATAATGTATCTAACGCTGTAGCAATACCTTCAAAAATAGCAAAAGTAATGGTAGAAGACATAGTGGCTAATGATACTGCCGCTAATTCATTTTTACCTATATGACCAACAACTAGTAAACAGACTATCGAGAAAAAATGCTCCAAAAGGAAGGTAATCACTAATGGAAATGCGTATCTTATTAACATCTTCAACTCAATAGCAAATGTAGTCAGCAAGTTTGCAAAATCTTCTAGTTCATTGTATGATGATTTACCGGTTGACCGTGAGTTACGGGAAGACGAATTTAACAGGCTGCGGGACCTTCCACTGCCCCTACTCCAACCATCTTCATCATTATCATCATCCTCCGAGTTCGCGGCGGAATACCTCCTTTGGTGCTCTTCTAATAACCAACTATGGAATGATTCTTGATCTTCATTTGTAGACTTTAGTGTAGATGGTAATGATCTCGATGTACTCACACTGGCAACATCACTAACCTCGTTCTCAGTATGTGTAAGAACGGAACCACTCTCCCCTAATGATAGGAATGACCTTTGGTCTTCACCTCCGCCATAACTGAACAACGGTTGGTTGGTTGACGGTGGTATAAATAATCTTCTTCTTCTTCCTCCTACTGGTAAGCCGAGGCCACCATTAGGATTAGCAAACCTATTTATTGTTCGGAACAACACCATTTCGATATGCTAAATAAAATGCTATAAAATGCTGCGTAAAAGGAAATATGCTTAATCAAGTACTTTTCAGATAGTTGTACAGTTCTTGAATGCAACAAGTTGTTCAAGCATCAAGATTCAATGAGTCGAGATGCGAGCAAATAAATGAAATATCACAAAATTAAAAATGGGACATTAATCTACACTCGAAGGTTTATCAGAATAAGACAATTATACCTTAACATGGACTATTTAGATTTTGTATTGGTTATAATTACATAGATTAAAATATAAAGTAGGATTGAAATGTATAAATCAAATGGCCATCCACGCAGAACCACCTAATACAATCCCCAACACAACCGCTGTTAATACACCAGCACCAGCCTTATCTTTCGTAGAAATATTCAATACGTTCTTGTTAACTTCATCTTCAGTATTGGTTCCTGCAGTGGGATTACTTTTTGAGCTACCTCCATTATCTTTGGTATAAACAGGGAACTCTCTGACTATTGTTGCAAGCATTACTTCTAAGGCACACATCTGTTCACCTAATCCATACACTTCATCCCATCCAGTTTTTGTCCAATCTTCACCACATGTAACGTGGTCATCACCACCAGAACACGATTGTGCTGCAGCCTCTGCACTTTTATCAAGATTATCTTCAATTAATGAAACAGTCTCGGGAGCCAAAACAGTTGTTATCCCAAGACAACGTGCAAACAATGAATGGAAAGATCTTTGATCGTTATTGCAATGATTAGGCATACATGTCGTTTCATACATAATACCATCCTTGAAAAAGTAACTGGACACTTCGATGATTTCTGTGGCTCTATCTAACCACATACTATCTTCAGTATAGTTGTACATATATGCACATCCAGCAATAAATATACCATATGTATAAGACCATTTCTTGTCAGTGACATCAGTGCAATTGTCACCAATTTTTGCACCATCATGAAGGACTAATTTATCATCTTCGGAGGTCAAAAACCCAACTTCTTCCATCCAATCCCATACTTTTTCTGCAACTTTGGCGTACGACTCATTTCTGGTAAATCTAGCCAAACGAGCAGCGATATTGAAGAGACATCCATTGGCAATAGAATTCTTATAGTCATAACCTGAATTCCAGGTAAATATTTGCCATCTTAACCCTCCTCCACAATGCTCCGTGTCCCATCTGGCTTCCATAGTGTTGAAAATGGCTTGCGTCATCGATAACCAACTATGATCCTCTGGATCGGTGAAATTTCTTTCGACTGCTTCCATTACAGCCAAACCCCAAACACCTTGATCATCATTACCTTCTACCATAGACTGGTTCGATGGAATGTAATTAAATGATTCACCAGCTTGATGATACATACCTTCGTATATCAAATTTTTCAATGTTTTGTTATCATTATCACAAAATGTGTAATAGTCTAGCAATCCCCCAAATGCTTCACCCGCATTCCACCAATAGTTAGGACTTGCAAACATGCCTACTGTCCCCCCATATTTGAGACCTTCGTAATAATTGAGTTCCCCTTGAACAACGTATTTTGCTGCTTCACACACAGAATCTTTATCTCCCGCAGTTAGATCGAGTGCACTCGTAAGCGAGATATATATCGACAAAATAACTATACTGAACACATTATTTTGGAATGTGAACCTCATATTTGCTTAATTGGTGTAGTGAGTGTGTTTGTTCTCAATTTCTAAATATAGGTCTTCCACTCCCTATGTCCAATCAAATAAATCAGATAAAGATTGATCCGTTAATATTTATAATGATTTGGATTTTAATAACAAACTACCAGCAACAGTTGACGTTTTTAATAGTTGTATTAACTATTGTAATTGTTTTGTTATTACCGCCAGTTTCTATTACTACGTAGAAGATCAACATTAAACAATGCCTCGATTTTAAGGCTATGAAATTATATACAGTATTATCAAAAGACCTAAAAATACCAAGAATGCAAAAAGCCTTCAGAACTTCAGCATTGGTAGTCAATTACGGTATATAGAGTGTAGAAAAGATGAGTGTATGGTGGAGGAGCATATTTAATAACTTGATGACTATAAATTTATAAACTGAGATTGGAAGATTAGTTCTAACTAAGGAGTTTGATCGTGCAACCCAAATATGGTTGATAATTGATCCAAGTTTCTGAGGACCACTCTATTGTTAGCAATGACCTTCAATTCGGGGCTGTTTATGCCTTCATCCGAATGCTCAGCGAAGCATGACATAGTTATTGGTTTTTGGGGGGAATGTGAATGAATAAGGAATTGACTAGTATTCTCTCTGTCGAGTAAGACTGCGTTCCATCCCGATCTAACTGGACCGAGAAAGTCTTTGTCTTGACTATCGCCTATATGCCAACAGTTTTCCAAGTATAGCTGTTTGTTGACATCATTGGGTGTTTCCAATGTGGAGGCCAAGAATCGTTGGTACACACTATCGAAGAACTTCTTATCCGGCTTAGAAGCGTCGAGGTCGTAAGAGAGATATATATGATCCTTGGCAAAAAAGTCCATGAGACCCAAGTTCTTCAATATCTCCATTACACGGATATCAGAATTACTTGACACAACGAGATTAATATTGTTTTCTTTCAACTTGGTCAATGTAGGAATCACGTCGTCATATACCATATACGCTTCGCTCCCGGTGAAGTAGGATAGGAGCCTTTTGCATAATTGGGCTGATGTTTCATCTTTTGTATAGTGTGGTAAGTCGAACAACTTAACAATAATCTCCAGCCACCATTCATCACAATTCTTGATGTCTGATGATCGTTTCCCGTAATTAGGATATCTCAGATATATCTCGGAGTATATTTTTGGAAACTCCTTCTCAATCGACTCTAGCGATTTATTTATCCCAAATTCCTCGATGGCAACCGCATGATATTGATGAGCTATCGGAGCTTTTGGGGTATATAATGTCCCGAATACATCGAAAGAAATGAAATGTGGTTTTGGAAATTGTTTATTGGAACCTCGGACCATTTTTTTGTGGTCATGAAAGGGATCGGATAAGAGTGGATCACTGATAGATTGCACTGATCTTCTAAATGGAAGTAAGTTCCTCGAGAATCTTACCATTTTGCTTCTTAATGGAATCATATCAATTACCGGTAATCAACAATTGATGCATAAAGAACCTTTTATACTTGCAAATCGTTTCGCCATGATGCGCTTTATTCTTTATCAACATATTTGTAGCACTGTCGAGGTATCGATTGAGATCTACTCCAGATTTTTGTAACAAATCAACCCCAAGATCATATAAGCATGTCTTCTTTGTCCTCTACAATACCCCCTAAAATACTTGGCTACGTTTCTGAAATTACTTGTAATAAATATAGTTCTATTCACTCTATAAATGGTATGCAATAAAAATAGTACCATATGAACCACTAATCTACAAACTGGAAGCAATTGAGACCCAATTCAAAATTATAATTACAATCCCGTGTAGAAAGACTCTCGTCTTCAACCTTATTTGAGCTATGAGTGTCCGAATTGGATTCGGTGATATATCTGACCCATGGAAAGCATGTATATTTCATTTGTTCCTCTACGACCTTCAAATAAGTTAATTTAAGACCGGAATAAGATAACATTGGAATGTTGAAAGAACACTTCACATGGTTAAAGTCTTGCGAAAATTTTATCAGCTTTTGTATTCTCTTAGCCAGTGATGAAACTGCGCCGTTGACACCGTAATATCTATCGAGATCTTCCTTGGCCCCAGTATCATCATCCAGGTCTTCTATCGCATCAGATTGCTTATATTTATTATTAAGCGAGTCCTGTACCGCCTCTAGGGTTAATACATCGTTATCTTTTGAGACTAATGCCATTTCTGCCATCATTTTCATCGCGCCTATTTTCCCATTAACATTATCAACATACCAGAATAATTCGGAAGAATCGATCTTATAACTAACATTACCTATTTCAGCCTTAAACTTCATTCCGTCGCGGAATTCATTAGCCTCATGGTCAAGTCTAATCAAATGTGGATTTATAGGAATTTTAATTATCAAATTACGACAGTGTAACCTTTTCTTGAAGTTTGTGGATAGAATACACATAATTTGTAATTTATTTGACAGTTTAAGAATTCGGTATGTTGGTTTTACCATGATAAGAGGAAGCTTACGCTTTTGTTTTTGTTGCTCCACATGGTATGTCATGAGTACGAATTTATCATCCGGAGGAATGAAGTTAATAATGTTCTCCTTATAGACAGAAGCTAGTTCTATACATTGATGGAATTGAATATTCCGTATCGGAATCTTATGGTTCTTCTTCTTTCTCTTACTATGATTTTCGTTGGAAATATTCTCACTGTCAATATCGTCCGCAGTTTTGGTATCCGCATCCCGAAGCTCGACAGTTGATCTAATATCATCAACGCTTTCCTCAATTTCGTCTTCGCTTAGATTCTCGTCGTCACCATCAATTGCCAAATTGCTATCCTCCAATTTCAATTGGTTATCGGATCTAGCCGTGTCTTCATTCTTTGGGTCTTCATATGCCATATATTCGTCTTCATTATCTATTCCTGAAATATACTTTTCATTAAACCCCAACTTACAAACTGGCATTCCAGAAAGATAACATTTGACTAAGCATCTGCCGTAAACTTCATTTCTTTTAATGGAATTAGTGCTTAGACTAAATAAAAATTCACAGTTCTCTATTATATCAATGTAAATCTCATTTTTGGGATAGAAAATACCTTTCGGCCGCCAACTAATGGCCAGGGATGTTGCTCTTAATACAGAACTGTTAATATACGAAGCGTCTGGATCTATTATATCAGCATTGACCGCTTGATTATGAGTTGATTTAACTTTCTTTATTTTATCCTTCGCTTGTTTACGTTTGTGATCAGACTTATCGCCATACTCTATATCTGAATCAGATGAGTCTTCATCCTTTTGTTCCTCATAACGACCCAATTTAGGAAGATTGGCTTCAACTTTAATATATTCTCGAAGAATCTTATAATCCGTCACCTGAACAATTCCAAAATCCATACACTCATCCAACAATTCAAAAATTAACGTCGAACTATCCATTATCACTTCCTTACTTAGTTTAGTCCCAACCTTTAAATCATCTTGAGAAGTTTTCTGCTTTCTGGCCATGTCACATATATAATGAAATAGAATTCCATAAAAATTATGCAAAAATACAACTGTCAGCATTGCATTGATATTCTTCTTCGTAACTGCTATCAATATAATATCATTATCTCCTCTCATATACACATAATTTATACCTCGACTATGAATAAAAGGTGTTCTTTCCTCTGGTAGTAGGTTCTTGTATGCATTTTCAAAGTTTTGCAAGACTAGCGTTTGATCCGGCAAACTATTATTATAGCTTCGATGCAATAACAACTCGCTTCGCAGGTAGTCTAGATAAGTTTCCGGCCAATGAATTATGTATAACGAATACACCACCATCTGACACGTAACCCAATATTTATCTTAATCGGAAGTATCTATGGAGATGATTTAAACGTTTATGACAAAATGCGACATCAAAACTGCAAGATAGATACGACATTCCTATAGACGATTGAATGAAGATACGGTCTTAGAAGTAGAAATTGTAACTTCAATGTACAGATAATGAGTTCGAAAACTATAAAGAAAGCAGCAGTTGTAACAGGCAAACAATTGGAAGAACAAATTTCCCGATTAAACTGTGGGAGCCATAAGAATTATTGGAAAATTAGAAGTAGCTTAGCTGCAGATGGATCAGTCGAAAACCGGCTTGAAGTAGACTATAAGTTTAAGTCGTTTGCTAAGACATGGAGTTTCTTGAATCTGATTGCATACCATGCGGATAACGTGAAACATCATCCTTCAATAGATACAACATACAACAAGGTGAATATTAAGTTAACTACACATGATGCAGGGAACAGAGTCACTTATAACGATTTGAAATTTGCACAATTTGTAAGAGATGAATTCGAACGGGAGAGACCACAGAATGTGTTAAAGATGGAAGAACTAATCAAGGATGCTAGAGGGCAATTTTCTTTTTCACAAGCATCTCAAATTATTGATGACTTAGTAGCATCGGACAAGTCTTCCAACTTAGAAAAGGCCTCGAAACATTCAGATCCTTCGAAAAACAGTAATGGAAAATAGAGCAGCTAGTCCAAAAGAAGAAGCGCTAATAATAATGAAAATAAGTATTAAGGTCCTCTTCAACCTAAATCCTCAGCTATAACTAAGATAGGAAATTTAAGGGCCATAATTATTGTTATGTAGACAGGAGTTAACATGAATGTTTCTCCCAAATAGAATGCTACTGGGCTTACAAGTAAATATATCACTCAACTATATTACAATTTTAATTCTTAATATCTAAATTAGTATGACAAACTTATGTGTAATTCACATCTCTCTTCGCTACGCAGTAAGCATCACGAACCTCAATCGCTTCGTAGGTACCTTCGAGGCTTACCATATCGGTATATTCGTAATCCCAAATATCCTCAATGGTCTTTGTTTCCACAACTATTTTACTGTGTTTATCTTTGCGGCCTGTTTCCTTACGTTTATGCTTTGGATCAACCTGTTCCAGAGTCCTCGTATATATAAGTTTGAATGGAGGCACACCGGAGAAACTGAACTTAATCTCTGTTTGTTCACCTTCATGAATATCTTGCACGACATAACTTCCTTGATTTATCTCGACAGAAGGAAGTTCATACACCTTTAATTTCAACTCTTCGAATTTCTCCTGCGAATTTGTCAAATTTACTAAACATTGATTAGCAGAAGAGTCCAGCAACGCTTCGATAGAAAGCTCACCTGCCTTAGAAGCTAACCTTTGAAATCTATCGCCCAGTTCCGCTTTTTGTAACTTACCATTAAATCTATAATAGACCATAAAAGGAGGAATACCGGACATGTTGTATAAGATGTGGTCGCCCACACAATAATGTGGCCTCTTCTGCATCTTAGAAATATTCGGGACTTCTGTAATAGAAATAACGTAGTTATTCAATTGCGAAAATTCCTTTTCAGTACAACCATTTGCATCGGTCAATTCGTTTATTGTTAGAGTGTGCTCTCCCACATTCATTGTCTCATATAATAAAGAGTCCTTTCCATTAATTTTAGCTTCATTCAACTTTAATTCTGGTTCCATTATATTCTCTAAAGTAAATGTTTCACTAATTCCTGTAGCTTCGTGTCTTAGAGATGCGTTGATTATAAATGGATATTCACCGACAAAACTAATAGGGACTTTAGCTAAAGGCTCATCAAGTCTTAAGCTAGTCTCACAGATCTGAAGGAATTGATCTTTTCTAAAGTTAGCTTTAGGAGATGGGTTAATATCGTATCTGACACATGGCAATACTTCATTCTTCTTTGGAGTCTTCGACACCTTCTCACGGGTATACAACTTATCATAAATTCCCTTAAAACGGTGTTCATATTTACCGCTATATTTAGTTGGCAAATTGATAGTGATGTTATGATCATTGACGGTCATGGACCTAGATTCAACTTTTCCAGTAGGTAATTTAATATCATAGTCTATTACAAAAGGTTTAACACCCTCCAAATTTAATTTTATTTTATTGCCACAATTTTGACATAATGGTTTAAGGTGCACAAACAAGTCGTTCTCTTCCAGATGCTGCTTTAAAACTTGCTGATCTTCAGTTATCAAAGTTAAATTAGGCCTGTTATAATATGATACAGAAACAGCCTTTTGTGCACCAATTCTACCAAGGCACCCACCATTAGTTAAAGATGACAAAGAGTAAGTTCCCTCTTCTTTAACTAGCAATGACTTACTATTTCTCAAAGTCCGCTTCTGAAAAATACTGGCGTTGTGTAGATCGCTTACAATATATTCTAGAACATCTGATGAAGCACTACCGATGGATGATTTTAACAACAATGGAATCTTGTACGAATCTCCCTCGATAATTTTTACGCTCTTATATGATGAATCGGTATCAATTGAGATTTCTGGTATATCTGATCTGGCTTTAATCTTAATGGATTCACGTTTATCAAAATCAATAGGACAAGACTGACCATCCCTTGCTTCTGATAATACAATTTCAAAGTTTCCGCCAGCAGTAAGCGAAGGTGTGACAATATTAAATGTACTTTCAGAAACATTCAATAATTTAGACGTTTCAATCAACTTTTCACCTGTATTAATGTTTAGTATATCATAGTTGAAACTGAAAGGTGCGTTACCTTTCAAAAATATCGGAACAGTCACAGATTCACCCATACAAGCACTGAATGTTTTTTGAATTTCCCCCTTGGTCTCAAAAAATGATGCCTTTGATCTTTGATTAAAGTAAGTCAGATAAGTATGTTTCTTTTCATCTAATAGTATCGGTTCTTTATGGTAATTAAAATCCTTAAGACTGTCGAACATAATAACGTAGTTTCCTTCTTTTGGAGGTCTATACTCAAATTTATAGTCCTTATCAAATGTTTTCAACAATCTATTGCTAAGTCCTCTTTCATTATAAACGGGTCTCAAAGTTCCATCGGATCTATTTTGGTACACATGATATTGGATAAAAAATGGTGGCTTCCCCAAAAGTTCAAAATCAAACTTGTAACCAGTCATTCCAACACATTTATCGACTACAGGCTCTGCAACGATTTCAACCAGAGGTGGTGTTGCTATTTCAATTGATACTTCCTTGCTTGTCATTACGTCACAAGGGCAGTACTTTGACCTACCCTTAATCACACTATAGGACCCAGGCTTATCACATTGAATACCCCTTGACAACTGTTGAGGATTATCATAAGTTTTAGTGTAGTTAGTGGATAATAATGGATTACTAGGGTGTATGTATTTAATATCGATTTCAAGTGGAAAATCTTGTTCCTTTAGATTTTGATAATTGAAGGATAAAAGTTTAGTACCATTAACCAATAGGACCTCTTGCGGGTCTGGATCCGCTATTTCAATTTTTGGTGCTTGCTTTAATTCAATAGAATACCATACATCCTTGTCCTTTGAAGAAGGATTATATACCTTCTTATTTTCAAGGATGTCCGCTACTTCTAATAATTGAAACTCCAATTTACCTGCACTCAGCTTCGGTATGATATCAACGTTGCGGAATAGTTCTTGTTCTAGTATATTACGTGTAATCCTATGAGATTGTAACCAGGATAAATTATTGAAGTTTTTATTATTTAAACTCTGAGTTTCATGTAAGCTAGTATCACTAACAGTTACATTAAATGACTTATACTTTCTCCCATTCAACCTGGTCTCAAATTTCAAAACAACAGGGCCGACACCAAATGAACTAACTAACGGAAGGTTAATATCATAATCACCACTACTGATATCACTCCCTATACATTTATAATTTTGATAAGATTTAGGTGAAACTGAATAAACGAATTCAGCACTTGGACAATGCGATATCACGAAGTCTGATTTATAAGTTCTGATGCTAATCCCTTTCTTGTCACTAACTTTATTAATTCTGTAAAGACCAGGGGATTTTATTGGAACTTCAGTATAAAAAATGCGATCATCATTTCTAACGTTTCCTTGATACTGACGCAAGTGAGAATAATCCTTTTTCAATAATTTATGTAAATCATGTTCGGTATAATTTATTAACTTCCTTTCATTGGAAGTTGTAATATGCTGTAATTGCAAAAACCCTAACTGCGTTGTAGTGTTGAATTCTATAGGCATTTGTACGGATGAATATGAATTAGGCTCCAAACAAATATTATCAAAATGGAAGGGATTGAATCTAGCAGATGAATCTGGAAGAAACTGAATTGTATATCTACCCTTGAAATGCTCATTTGGATCAACGATGTTATTGGAATTTACAGAATCACCGAAAAGTGTTAATTCTTTTCTGCTGAATATTATTTTCCATACCGGCAACATCATGTTCGAAATTAACGGAATCATCGTATCACTTGCTAGAAAGAAAGTCACCCCATTCAATAACAATGTTAATAAAAACGTTTTCAACGGCGAATAAACTAAATATGGAATATTTAGTATGGGAAGTAACCATAGAAAGAGCCCATCTATCATTGCATACTTCGCGATAAATGTAAAAGTGTTCAACGGAGCCAACCCAATAACACTACTAGACATCACATCTGACTTCAATAGGATGATATCATATATTTTCCAGCATTGTATTAATACGAAAAATGATACAATGAAAAGACGTTGTGATGCTTGATCTATGATGCTTGATGGAATCAATGGTTGTTGAATTGACTCCAAATCTTCTGATTTTGGCCTCCTTCTTCTTGCATCTATATCTCCTCTAGCATTGGAATCCATATTTTTATAACAAATGCAACCAGTTGTGTAATTATATATTTATGCTAATAACCTCGTTAAATGGTCTATGCAATAGATCGAATGTAAATTTTTTGAGAATGAAAACAAACATTACGACATTTTTATAATATTGCGACATATTTGCTACTAATATTTCTATATACATCTATAATTAATTCTTAATGACCCACAGTCCATTAGATTTAACCTGAAGAACCTTTGTTGCAGGTAAATCCCAACCAACACCACCATCGCCAATGGCCGCACCAATTCTTGGAACAACATAGCACTCTCTTTTGGTTGGAGTAATGTTTTTGGGTGCGTAAGGATGGCCCAATGGCTTAGAATACGTAATCAACAGGGAGTTTTTAGCAATATTTGCTAACTGTTTCCCAGAAATATCAACTAACGGCTTCATTCTTAACTTGGATAATTTTCCTTCTTGCTGGTTACTTCCTAGGTTCAAAGATTGGTAGATCAAATAAGGCGTGGGGATGCTACCAGAGTTCGTAATGATTGAATTAGGATGAATGTAGACATAGGGGGATACCTGATCTCCAAATTGAGAACTTGGGAATAAAGTCGCATAAGGGATATTTATAACGTTAGTTTTGTTAGGAAGGTCAATATCGGACGATATTAAATCACCTCTGATTGCAACTTGGTCAATAAATCCTGAGGAAACCATCTGCTTTATAGCAGCGATTTGCTTCTTATCAGGTACTTTCAACTTCAATTTCTTTTCTTCATCTAAATTTACGGCAATAGAATCTTTGCTTGTGTTGATCTTTACAATATTGGTTACTTGTTTTCTCAACTTCGAGATTTCTTCCATTACTTTTGGTCTCAAAAAGTTATTCCTTAAAAATTCACCATGTTTTTCTTTTGGGACGTGGTCAAATGCACATACAGCTGCTAATAATTGTAATCCATCACTTGATTTATCTAACTTCGAAAATAATGCTCTTGATTTATAGAATTTAGATCTCAAATTTTTCTTCGCCTCTTCATCAACGAAATCTTCCTCTTCACTAGAACTATCATCTTCGTTATCTTCTGATTTCTTACGATTAACTTGGTTGATACCCAATTCATGTTCGTTAATGAAAGGGTCGCCAACAGATAATGCAGATACAATTGCAACAATGTATGGTAAACAACCCATTTGATTACCAACAATCAAAATCTTTGCAAACCGAGGACTCAATGGGAATACTGCCATAGTTCTTCCCAAGTCAGTCACATTATTATCTTTATCTAGTGCCCCCAAAATTGTTAACAATCTCTCTGCTTTACTAAGCGCAAGTCTGTCAGGTGGAGTTGGGAATGGAAAATTCACAATTTGGTCTATGCCCATACTTTTCATTGACAACACAATGCTCTCTACCGGCATTCTTAATATTTCTGGTTTACTAAATTGTGGAAAGTAGCTTTCATAGATTGCAGACGAGAATAAACGATAACAATGACCAGGTCCTGTTCTACCTGCTCTACCTGCTCTTTGATCCGCAGAAGCTTTCGAAACCCAATCGATTTCAAACGACTGGACCCCAGTTTCCTCATTAAAATGTCGTTCTTTCGAACGACCAGAATCTACCACATAACGAATTCCTGGTATAGTCAAAGAAGTTTCAGCCACATTGGTTGCAATGATACATAATCGGCTTCCTTCTGGAGGATTTTGAAACACTTTCATTTGTTCTTTCGTAGGTAACAAGGAATACAAGGGTAAAACATACAAGGGATCTTTATCAGTCTGATGTGCCTCCAAAAATTCTTCAAAACCTTCTTCTTCTTCCGAATCTGACTGATAATCATCATTTTCTTCTAAAGTATCCTTATTAATATGAACACTGAAGTCAATGTCCTCTGCTTCAGCATCCGTATTTTTACTTATTTTGACTTTTGGTGCATTTTCATCTGCATAATGAATTTTACCTTGTCTTTTGGCCTTTTCTGGAAATGGAAACTCTTTACGTAACTTTTTCACAACCGACGTGATCTCATTTTGACCAGTTAAAAATACTAAAATACCACCTGGAGGTAACTTTCTATGGATTTTGCAGACCTTCTTGAATGATTCACCCAAGTAGTCAAAATTTGTCCGACGATTGAAGTGAATACTCACTGGATGCTGTCTCGCAGAAATTTTCAAAATGGTAGGAGGAGTTCTAAACAATAACTTATTCTCTGAAAAGTCTGATACTCTCAATGTAGCAGACATAATTATTAATTTCAATGGCTTGTATCTCTTTGGATCACTTTCATGGTACTTCCTTCTTAACTTTAAGATTCTACTGAGCATACCAATTAAGATATCTGTATTTATATTCCTTTCATGGGCTTCATCGATAATTATTGCAGAGTATTTATTTAACAATAAATCCGCCATCATCTCTCTTAACAAGACACCATCTGTCATAAATTTTAAAGCTGTTCCATTTTCTGTCCCCTCATTTTTAATGGTGGTATCAAAACGAACTTGATGGCCTACTCTCTTTCCATGCTTTCCACCTAATTCTTTGCCAACACGATCTGCCATGGAAACTGCTGCCACTCTTCTTGGTTGTGTAACGCCGATCATTCCTGGATGTGTATCAGATTTAATGTCACCAAATCCAGCTTCATATAAGAATTGAGGTACTTGGGTTGTCTTACCTGAACCAGTTTCCCCACAAATTATAACACAATCGTGGTGATAAATTGCTTCCATTATCTTATGTTCCTCACTAAATACTGGTAGATTCATCCTCTGTTCTTGAATTTCGGGGGAACGGTCAACGTCAACATAAAATGCTTCTCTCTTAAGTTCCTTATTAACTGGAACGTAATTTTCTTCGTCCGAGGAATGGTCATGATCTTCTTCATGAACATAAGGTTTTGAATATTTCGCTTTTAAGTGGTCTGGTAAAGTAGGCATTACTGCTTCAGTTTCCCTGCCTTCGAGTTTACGTACTTGTGCTTCTGCCCATTCTTTAAATGATTCTGCAGTGGAAGAATGCTTTGGTTTAGCCAGCAAAAGTCTTGGTAATTCCTCTTCGCTTTCTTCATCATCATCGCTTTCTTCTTCATCATCCTCCTGATCATCCTCGTCATCATCATCATCATCTTCCTCTTCATCGCTGTCAGATTCTTCTTCAACATCGTCTTTTTGGGACTTTTCCGATTTTTTGGTATTTGCAATCTCCGTTTCTTTATCACTATCTTCTTCACTGTCACCTTCATCATTTTCACTTTGAGTACTCAATTTACTATCGATTTCACTATCTTCATCTTCTGAACCCGAGCTGGCGAAATCCATATCGTCTTCTATTCTGTTCTTCTTCTTGTCTTCTTGCTCCACTCTTAATCTCCAGCTATATTTCTTCTTGTTAACGGCTTTAGGTTTATCAACTTTGGGTACGTTTTCGAAGCCAAAACCAAACCCACTTCCCCCAAACTTCAGAGGCCTATTATCAATAAAAGAAGATGTATTTCCTGCATTATCACCGTATTTGTCTAAATCATCACCATCCTCCAGACCGGCACTATTTTCTGATTCACTTTCATAAGAAGGCTTTGTCTGTATCTCTTGACCCTGTGGCCATTCCTTCACCTCTCTTTCTTCGTACAAGATTTCTTTAGTTCTCTCGTCTCCGCGGCCTTGTCTTTCAAGTTCCAATGCTTCGATCATTTCTTCTTTTCTTGTTTGTTTACCAGTACCTAATAGCTTCGAAGGAACCAAAAGCTTAGAATCCATCTTCGTTTCCGATAACTTCTCTAACAATACCTTTTTCTCGTCTCTCTTTAATTGATGCTCGATGTACTTATCTAACCTCTTTTTCTTTGTCCTAGACATCTTCGACTCCTTTTGGTTTGCCGAATATATCACCTCTTCCAACTTCCTTTTTCTTTCTTTCTTCTCTTGTTCTGTTAAAGGCTTGAGTATTTCGGAATTTGGATCTTCGTTGTTATCATGATTTTCATTTTCAACTATCTCATCGGTTCCATCTGCTTCATGTCTAGTAAATTGTTTGTTTCTAGCACTTTTGAGCGCAGCCTGTTTAGCAAGCATCCCAGAACGGGCTTTCTCGTTGAATCTTTTCCTATATTTACCCATTATCTAAGATCTTGCACGGACTAGTATACATATACTCTAGTTTTCATATTATCATATATTTTTTTAAGATGAGTATATGATTTATCACGTGAGAGATCTTTACTATTAATTCCAATAAATGATATCACATAAGTCTATTCTAATGGAATATAACAGACGAAGGCCTAGGAAGTTATTATAGATGACAATGAATAACAATCTTCACAATCATTGTATGTTAATTTATATCTCAAGTTAATTCAGAGATAAGTTTTTACTAACCCAAAATTAGTGATCCATACGACTTTGACGCTAAATTCCTCTACGTTATATACGTATGAAAACTTTCAATTAATCCACCAGTTGAATAATTTGAACTGTTCTGAGATAGTTAGTCAGGAATTGGGGTTAATCAATGCTTCAAAAACACTTGTTGGGTCTATTCCCATTGCTGCCGGTTATACAGTAAATTCCAATTTAGCATTGTACTTCATGAAGAAGGTCTTAACGAATAGTGACGGTAGTAATGACTTAATTACAATAATAAGTATAGCACATGTGAACGTGAATAAGACTTTGATATTGTCGGTGTTAAAAAAAACCATGGATAAGTATATCGAATTCAAGGGGGATATTGAGAATTCGGATAATAATTCGACCCATCAGATCAAGACAAAACTAGGAGAGTTCAAACTCTACATGAATCAGATTATAAAGTATGAAGAAATGAATTATGATTCTAACCAACGTGTATATAATTATGGAGCCATTAACAACAGAGGCAGCGATGACGAGTCAGACGGTATAACTGGTGAAGATGTAATTAGTCCCAACCAATTGCTTTTGGCCAACGAAGAAACGGATGAAGTCAGGCAGTTAATGTTGGATAACATAAACAAAGTTATGAATAGGGGTGATAAGATAAATTTATTAGTCGACCAAACTGATAGGTTAACTAGTTCGTCGCTGATGTTCCAGAAACGGGCACAATTAATCAAAAGAAAAATATGGTTGAGCAAATCTAAATTTATACTTATGATATTAGGTGGTGTAGCATTCATGATATACCTTTTAATCGGGTCTCGTTGTGGTTTTCCTGGCTTCAGTCAATGCTTGCATCCTTAATATGTATATTTTATGTCATTAATATAGTATATAGAAAATTGTTCTATAAATACCTCAAACTATGAATCATCATCCGAACTATTTTGCCCTTCGTCTTCATCTGCTGCTTCTTCGCCTCTCAATTCATCTTCCTCCCTACTTAAAAGTGCAATCGGGTTTTCTTCGACGTCTTCACCATCCTTTTCATCGTCAAGCTCTTCTTCAGCTTCTTCTTCCTCCTCTTTCGATTCCTTGTTATCCGTATTTTCATCATTGGCAAGCTCTTCAGTAATATCCTCATCAGCTTCAACTTCATGGTCATCCTCCATATCTGCGCTATTGTCTCTCTGTATAATTTGCTCATCATTATCTTTAAGTCTTTTATTCAGAGGCGAAGCATTAACACCTTCTGGTTTAGAAACTTTCTTCTCAGCTTTATGCTTCTTCCTCAAGGCGATATTACTTTCAAATATGCTCAACTTCTGTTTTACCTCTGGTATAAACCCTGAAAATTCAGCTTTCTCAAGAGCACTAAGTATGTCTTGTGCGTTGATGGTTTTACGTCCTTCGTCTTTTGAAATTTGTCTGGCTTGAAACATTAAATGTGATACAAATACTGTCGATGATCTTTGTAATGCAATCATGGAATCCTTGGCAAGAATCATATTACTTGCACCTTCGTCATTACTAGCATTCATAATATTCTTCGCAAGCTTCTGGACTGTAGCACGAGGGAATAAAATTTCATCAATTGAAACCAAATCTTGATCCTTGTTCGGTTGGGGGTATTGTCCCTCCGTATTCTTTCTCCATCCCTTTGGTGGCATTTTAATAACTAACAATATTTGTCTCCACTGATATAAATGAATACTAATATTGACGCGTATATAAATTTGAGGTACTCGATGAGAATGTGTACACAACCATATCTTGTGATGCCTATATCAACGCTAAAGAGAATTTAATTAGACTGAATTTATTATTACTTAAAGGAGTAGGCAATGCTGGCAACTGCTAAATCCAATACCAAATCATCGAAGTATGAAAAAAATAATGAATTCTACGGTGTTTTGAACGAGCGAAATATAGGGAAAGTTGTTCTTGGAAATTATGAATTCGAAACTTGGTATGGTAATGCAGCCTATTTCAGTTCCCAAGGACCTCATTCTATATTGGGATATGAATTTTCAAACAAAATAGTAACTGCCTCTGGGCAAAAAGGTAAAAAGAAGGTGATTGAACAAATAACTGAAACTGAGAATATTAAACCAAAGAATGATTCGTTGTGGTTAGATAAACTATACGTTTGTCAATACTGTTTTAAGTATACAGATAAACAGCAATTCATGGGACAGCATCAAGCTATATGCCCTCTTAATACCAAGTTCCCTTCCATAGGAAAGTTGTTATATAGGGACGACGAATCACCATATTTCATTACTCATGTCAGAGGTTTTAAGCATCAATTATTTTGTCAGAATCTTTCACTATTTGGGAAGCTATTTCTTGATGATAAATCAGTGTATTATAATGTTGATACATTTGACTACTACATAATATATGGCCTCGATCAACTTCAAGACCTGTCATATCCAGAAGAGAAGTTTGTACCAATGGGATTCTTTTCGAAAGAAGTACTATCGTGGGATGACGATAATAACTTAGCGTGTATATGTATTTTTCCGCCATTCCAAAGGCGACATCTTGGTTCACTCTTGATAGAATTTCTGTACGCCTTGGCCAGAGTTACACCAGGACAATTCAGAAGTGGGCCAGAATTTCCTTTGTCTCCCTACGGCAAAATGAGTTATTTACGTTATTGGTCGAGAAAATTGGCATCTATACTATTGCAAACCTTCAAAATAAATGAAGAATTTAACTTGTCGAGTCTAGCAGATACTACCGGTTTCAGGAAAGAAGATATTTTGCTTACTTTGGAATATATGCAAATATTACAAGATACTGGTAATGGTGATGTTAGCTTATCATTTGGTAATTTGAACCAATGGTGCACTGAAAATAATGTCGATCCTTTGCAAGAGAAGACCATGTTAAACCCAAACTACCTTTTAATTTAATAGAATTGCATACACATCAGGAGAAGTGCTACTTTCTCCTTACCTACATGATGAACAATAATTTATAATGTAATATAGTCATCGATACTCTTAATATACATTATCTAACTTTAAGATAATTGTAAATGTGTCTCTGGTAATCGAAATTGCAAAAAAAAGAGACGTGCTCGAAAATTGCGTAGTAACAATTATTTGACATTTTTATATTTAATAGCTAAAGCAAATACTATGACAATGGAGAAAAAGAGGTATTTCAGTGTCACGCTGGAAGATCGACTGCCTAGTCTAGTTACTGCTGAACAAAATGAAGAATTGAAAAATTCGTCAGTATCAAAAGATAGTCAGGAAGATTCGTTATTCGTAGTTGATGATAGTGATACTGAAGGACAAACTGAACGGAACGTTTACGAAAATATAAACCCTGTGCCCGATGTTCATCATTTAGAATACGAAGAGTTTGAAAGTCAGATAAATTCGGTAGTAGGAACTATATCATCGCATGCTATGAATCATTTGTTTAAAAAGTATCATGATGGCCAAAATTATTTGAAGTTAGCCGTCCAAGAATATTTACAAGGTATTGATGAGAATGATACTGACATATGTATCGTTGAAAACTCTCCAGATGGAAATAATATTTCTAATGATAATAGGAAAAGAAATTATGAACAAGAACAAGATGATTTAATGAGCAGATTACAACGGGAGCGCCAGAGAAGTCAAGATGAAGAGAAAAAAAAGTCATGGAATCGATTTATCGGCAGCCTAAATGTGCAAGCATGGGCCACAAGACCAACAACTAAACCATTGAAATATTTAGAGAAATTGGAATTACGGCGGCTAATGCCAAAAAAATTGAACGTTGGCAAACCTACTAAAGAGAAGACAAAATTTGGTGATTCTTCCATCATAAGAATCTACACAATACCGAAACTTGCTGAAGAAAGTGGAAGGGAAATAGGGCGTATTCCTGAAGATATAACTCGAATTTTAGTACCATTGATTGATTTAGATATTTCTTCATTTTATACTACAGTGATGATAGATACTGAAAAAAGATTATCCACTGGAGATTCATTTTACATCCAAGTTGACTGTTATTTATCACAAAATGCTTTTTCGGGTAAGGAGCTAGAAAGATCAATGTCTCAGTCTGATCAAGATTTAAATGCTTTGAAAAGACAAAAGAAGATGGACACAAGAGCAACGTTCGATTTTTCCACCGAAACCAACACTGAAGCAATTCTAAGGTTAAGGCAATACTCTTTGTCTAAATTCTTTCAAAGATTGAATATCAAGCCAATACCTCAAAGGTCAGATAACGGTGACAATATAAATGAGGCTTCTGAGACACCAATTGTAATTGATTCTGAAAACGAAGATGACCATATTGTAAACGACGATCATGAGCAACATAATTTGGATCAATTGAAACAAATAATGCAGGCTAATCAACAATCAGAATTATTGGATAGTTTGCCTGAAACGACCAAACCTCCAATTTCCAATTTTAAATTAGATTTGAGAAAATATCAAAAGCATGGTTTATCGTGGATGTTAACCAGAGAAAGAGAGATAGCCGTATTAGAAAATTTGTCCAAAAATGATGATGATGATGATAATGATAATGGCGTCTTAACGACTCAAGACAAAGCAAATATACAAGAGCGAAACGATGCATTCATGAACCCATTATGGGATATCTTTGAATGGCCGAAGGATACTTCAATGCATAAAGTTGAATCTCTGCAAACTGGGGATAAAATGGATGATAATTATTTTTATGCGAATATGTATAATGGTGAGCTATCGCTCACAAAGCCAGTTATAAGGTCAATGGTAAAGGGTGGTATTCTTGCTGATGAGATGGGTTTGGGTAAAACTATCTCAACTTTAGCTCTAATTAACTCTGTACCCTTTGATTTTATGTTTGAAGAAAATAAAGAACTTGAGGACAAGACGATTTATGCTTCGAAAACAACGCTTATTATTGTTCCGATGTCATTACTTTCGCAATGGCAAAAGGAGTTTGACAAGACTAATAATAACCTGAATCATAAATGCATTATTTATTATGGAAATCTGGCAACCACTGACTTATCTCCTGTCTTATGCAACAAGAAAAAGGATATTCCAATTGTTATGATTACTACTTATGGTACAGTCCTTAATGAATTTACTAGGATATCTAATCGTCGTGATATAAGAGGATTTTTGCCAAAGATTGGATTGTTTTCAGTAAAATTTTTCAGAATTGTATTGGATGAAGGACATAATATACGAAATAGAACAGCCAAAACTTCTAAGGCTATATATGAATTATTGCTGAACAGGAAATGGGTTTTAACGGGTACGCCTGTAATAAACAGATTGGATGATTTATATTCTTTAGTTAAATTTTTAGAGCTTGAACCATGGTCAAATTTTTCTTATTGGAAAACATTTGTTACTCTTCCATTTGAACAAAGAAAAATATCCCAAACATTAGACGTGGTCAAATCAATCCTAGAACCTATTTTTATTAGGAGAACAAAGAATATGAAACAAAGTAATGGAAAACCGTTGGTTGAATTGCCGCCCAAGGAAGTTGTTATTGAAGAAATCAAATTTAATGAAGTTGAAGAAAAGTTATATAACTGGTTTAAAGCTAGAGCTTCTCAGTCGTTTAAAGATGGTATGAAAAGTGGTGACCTATTTAAGAAATATAGTCAAATACTAACTCATATCTTAAGGCTTAGACAAGTTTGCTGTCATGTCGATTTGGTCGGAAGTGCAAACGAAATGGAACAAGAATTGGTGGATCCTAATACAGATTTATCTGAAGCTAATGGTGAGTCGGATAGTATCACAGTGGTGCATAATATACTAGATCTGTATCATGCTGATAATAGTCATGATGAAAAATTTAAGAATAACACTGAAGTTCGTTCAGTAATGTTTCCACTATACGAAAAGATAGATTTGAAGGAATCGGAATGTTCAATTTGCACACAGTCACCCATTCCTTTAGGTGAAATGGCATTAACTCCCTGTGGACATGCATATTGTTTAAATTGTGTATTAGAGCATTTTGATTTTCAAGAAAAGAACCTGCAAAAGCCGCTATGTCCAAATTGTCGTGAACCAATATCGAAATACAAAATCTTTAAATTAAGACATAGAGATACTTCGGGAAAGGAGATTAGGTTTCACACAAAACAGGAGATGGAAGATCCAAGTCAAAACTTTAAATTTCAGTTGTATCTATATGACCCAACTAAAACATCTTCGAAAATTCAGTGTTTGATTAATCATTTGAAAATATTAAAGGAACAAAGTCCTAATGAACAAGTTGTGGTATTTTCACAATTCTCATCTTATTTGGATATTATTGAAAATGAATTGAAGATACAAATCCTGAATGATTTTGTTGTTTATAAGTTTGACGGTAGACTTAATATGAATGAGCGACAAAAGATTTTAGAAAATTTCAGCAGCCAAAAGCACGAAAATAAGGTGATGATTCTATTATTATCTCTAAAAGCTGGTGGGGTTGGGTTGAATTTGACGACTGCTTCCAGAGCCTTTATGATGGATCCATGGTGGTCTCCAAGTGTTGAAGATCAAGCAATTGATAGGTTACATAGAATCGGTCAAAATCTGAATGTTAAGGTTACCAGGTTTATCATGGCTGATAGTATAGAAACTAAAATGCTAAAAATACAGGAAAGAAAAAAGCAGATTGGAGAAGCTGTTGGTGCTGAGGAAGACGAAAAGAGAAAAAGAAGGATTGAAGAGATGCAAATATTGTTTGAAGATGATTAGTTATTGTCTTTATAAATCAATCTTGCATATATGTAAATTGCATTAATTAATAATATTTATTTTTAGTTTTTTTGAACGTAGTATTCAATACAAATTTCAAATTAATGTTAAATTTCAACAGTATTCAAAAGCCGGACTTCACATTCAATATATATAATATCGAATGCTATTATTATCCAAAAACTCAATCATTTTCTTTATTGTACTTGCTATTGGCTTTAACTCTATCAGATGTATGATTCTTGTTTCATTACAGGAAAAAGTAGTAAATAATTTGGCTGCTAAATTAATCAACTTTGTGTCATAAATAATTACACAAAAATGTATAGTCTACAAAGTGTATAACAATGTCGAACTCCTTGTTAACAATATAAATGTTAACTATATACTATATATAAACCATAGGCTTATTTTCTTGAACTTCTTCTTTCCTTCACGGCATTAGATAAACCTTCTAAAACAGATTCGGTATCTTCCCAACCGATGCAAGCATCAGTAATAGAACAACCGTACTTCAAAGCATCCTTACCACCTTTATCAGCAGGTGGCACATCTTGTCTACCTTCGATAAGATTGGATTCAATCATCAAACCACAAATACCGTCCTCCCCATTACTGATTTGCCTGGCAATTTCGGCTGCAACCAATGGTTGATTTTTGTGATTTTTGCTTGAGTTACCATGGGAACAATCAACCATAATCCTTGGACCTGACTTTTGTTCTGTAACGATGTTATTCTTGATTAATTCTTCCTTAGTCTCCTTTACAGATTGTTCATCGAAATTTGTACCTTTCTTACCACCTCTTAAAATAACAAAACAGTCTTGATTACCATCTGTTCCAACAATAGCAACAATACCAGGCTTTGTAACTGACAAAAAGTGGTGCGGATGAGAAGCAGCTCTAACTGCGTCCATTGCTACACCTAAAGTACCATCTGTACCATTCTTGAAACCAACTGGGAAGGATAAACCGGAAGATAACTCACGATGCAATTGTGACTCAGTAGTTCTTGCACCAATGGCACCAAGAGAGAATAAATCGGACAAGAATTGGGGCGAAATTGTATCCAACATTTCGCCGGCAATCGGCAATTTTTCAGTCAAATCTACGAATAACTTTCTGGCAATTCTCAAACCCTTGTTAATTTGGAATGAGCCATCGATTTCTGGATCATTAATTAACCCCTTCCAGCCAACTGTAGTTCTTGGTTTTTCTAAGTAAGCTCTCATAACGATATGCAATTCACCAGAATATTTTTGAGCAGCTTCATACAATTTTCCAGCATACTCAAGTGCAGCTTTAGGATCATGGATTGAGCAAGGACCAATGACAATAATCAAACGATCATCCTTCCCATTCAATATATCACAAGCAGCCTCTCTACCTTTTAAGATGGTGTCTTGTGATTTTTGAGGCAATGGTAGTTCATGTTGTAATAAATCAGGAGGAGTCAATGGGTCGTAACCGCGGACTATAGCATTAAGTTAGTATGTCATTCAGAATTCATAATGATTTTCTATTATAGTTGTGGTTTTAGATATATGCGGGTACAAAAGCAGATAGCTATCCCCATTCTGCCGTTTTAGTTTCTAATACATACCTCTCCAATCTTCTAATCTAGAACGATCTCCGACGTGTTCGTTAGTAATGAACATTGATATGATATTATAGTATTTAACAAAAAATGTTTAAATTAGTAACAGAATTCTGCTTATTGGATAAAATTTCACTTCTAGTGACGACAATTTACGAGGATACCCTGCACGTGTATATTCTGATAAGTAGAAGCAATTATTCTATAGACCTATCTGTTTCTATACTATGATACCTGTGTATAATGGTTGAACTCAGTATGCTAGTATGCTGTTATAAGGTTCGAATATAAATAGTGTTTTGGTGATTTCAGCATCTTTATATGCTTAATATGTAAAGAACGTCATGCCGCAAAATGTGTTGACTCATACAACATTGACTCATTTTTTATATTATTTGCTACTATTTACTTCTTTCAAAAATATAAATATAACCGTTCTCTTTAATATCAGAGATACTAGCATCATCACAGGCAACAACTTTTTCATCATTAAATAATACCCATTTTAATTCATTATTGATGACTTTTCTAATGTAGACAACGTAATGACCAGTGTGGGGTGAAGAACCCTTATGGCAAATAACAGCTTTTGCATCATATCTGCCATCATTAGATGGCGGGTTGTCGAGTAAGTCTTGTGTAAGTTCTTTACACTCTTGAACTACGTTAACGATTGGCTTAGAATCTTCAATCACACCGTCGTCATCAGGATTCGAAAATAGCCATTCAACAGCAGCATTAATGTCATTTTTATTAAGAATTAATGACTTTTTAGACAATTGATTGGAAAATCCCATGGCAACTAAATTGTCAACCGAGTCTTGTGATGGTTCAGTTGAGGATGCACTGTTATCAGAGGGCGTGAAAGGATCATCAATATCAATATCATCCATATGAGCTAAAATCCAATTCATGGCATCTTCAGCATTGTTATTACCAGTATTATACAAACCTTTGATACATCTCACTTCAGGAAAGCCCATACTTAACAACATTGACATACCCTCTGCATTTGGAACAAATTCTTTAGAATCGCTCTCGTTTTCGGTCTCACTATTTATGGTTTCTCCAGATGCTGCCAGTGGTGCCGTAAAATGTGATAAATCAATAGATCCTGGGATTGAAATAGGGACATCCACTTTGACTGGAACCCAATTTTCAAGCTTGATTCTTCTTGCATTTACTACAAGGACATCAGGAAATGTTTTGAATCCAGTAGACTTAATAGCCGTGGAAGAACCTGAATCACAGCTATCACATTTAAAGTCTTCAACAGCTTCTTCTGCACAGTAATTTCTAAAACTATCCACTATATTTGTTTCTTTATAAGTCTTTTTACCGGTTTCTTGATCGATGCTTTCTATTTCATCATCAATCGGAACAGAGACATTATCTATTAATTCCATACTAATCTTACCATGTAGACATTTAGAACATACTACCTTGCTTCCCATTAAAAATTTCAATGGCCTATTTAAACTCAAACCTAATTCATTATCAATTTTATCAAGCAAATACAATAAAAATTCAAACGAATCTTGTTGTTTCTGAGTTTTAAATTCTGGGTGATTTTCTCCAATCAATGATTTAAAAGTGGAAGGCTTGATGCCTAATTGGTAATCATCTCCTTTTATAGAATTTGGTTTTGAATATCTTCCTGAAAGTAATCCATCATGAATTTTAATCAATTGACTGAGTAAATCTTTAGATGGGTCCTGTACTTCTTTGTAGCTCGGAAATTCTTGTTTACCAAAATATTTTTGATAACTTGGCAAGCTGAATAGAGCTTGTAACACAGAATTCAAATAACATGAATTACCCAAATTTTGAAAACCAGTTAAATCCTTACCAAAAATGGGTTCCAATTTTTTACCATTGGCACCGTCAAGTTTAAATTCCCAATTCAAATTTTGGTCCAAATTCAACTCGATTAAATTCTTTTCAGTTTTAACTGATTTGGCTAAATCAATACCATACTTCAATAGTTTTTCATAAAGATCGTTCACTTTAACTTCATCCTGACATTGGTAGCAATAACAATCACAATTATTTACATCGTCTGCCGATAGAGAACCTAATTTAACGGCAACTGGATGTCCTGAAAGTTCATAATGAGTCAAAGCATGCGAGTTGCCTTGTAATGCAGAACCGAACTGTTGTCTTCCACACCCAATTATTCCACAATGCAAACATATCCACAAGTTTTCTTTCAAGTCACATTGCGCACAAATAGACAAATCAACAGAGTCATTGGGGAATTGCTCTATATCTACTGAATGTGCACACGGAAATACTTCTTGTTCCCAAGCTTTTATTTCATCGTCTCTAGCAGATGAATTGGACTTCAATATATTTTCAATCAAGCCTTGAATATTTTCCGGCGAATCTTCAATCGAATAGGACTGATCACAATCCAAACAGTAAACAGACTTAATGATATTGTATATATCTTCCTCTTTAGTATCTTTGATTTCGAGCTTGGCAATCTTTTGTTGGCGTTCACCTTCTTCATTCTTCGGAAATTGGTTACGTTCAGCATCTGGCTTTAATACTTTGACAACATTCAAGTAATATGAATGCTCCGTATCATCGTAATGCTTTCGGGTGTGATTAATTTCTCCTCTGGAGAAAGATTGGAAGCATTGTAAACAAATATCTAATCCTGAAGCATTATTTTCTGGTGTATCAAAGCAGTACATACAATCATCCTTATACACTTTAGTATTAAGTGCTATTTCAGACGATAGTCCAGAAGACTGGTCTGCAATATGTTTACATGTAGCCATCATTGTAAGCTAATATATTAAAACCTTCAATACTTTGAGTTTGCCTCCACATAGATACATATTTTTTTTGAGTGAGTATTTGTGATCTAAGCTGCAAAGTTAACAACTCATTTCTAGATAATCGTTCATATAGCAGATAATGTTTGATAGGCTCTCAAAGAAATTATCAGAAAGAATAGAACTGAGTCACAATAGCTTGCAAGATTCATACTTGTTCAAAAGTTGTATTTATTTTTCAAACTGGTCTGTTTACGGTAAAAAGCACTTTCCGAAGGATATTCCAGCTAGTAATGTTTCTCATATCTTCTATGCTTTTATTAGCATAGACTCTACAACTGGTCAATTAAAGCTCTCAGACGAATGGTCAGATGTTCAATTACCAATGGAGTCTCCAAATGACCCGAATAAAAAGGTTTGTGGTTGCTTGCAGCAGCTACTTGAGATTAAACGTATGAATAGACATCTTAAGGTCCTTATGTCTATTGGAGGATGGGGAACGAGTGGGTTATTTACAGAAATTATGTCAAATCCATCAAAGATGGAAAACTTTATCAACAGCTCAATTGGATTGCTCCTAAAATATAGATTTGACGGAATTGATATTGATTGGGAATATCCAGCTAACACGACAGAGGCACAGCTTTTAGTCGAATTGCTAAAGAGGTTAAGAGCGGGGTTGGATAGAATAGAGAACCATAGTGGCTTACTACTAACAGTGGCATCACCAGCTGGAGATGAACAATTGGCTGTAATGAAGTTACGTGATATGGATAAATATTTGTCATTTTGGAATGTTATGTGTTATGACTTTGCAGGTGGATCATGGTCTTCGAAGACAGGGTTCCATTCCAACTTATTCGGCAAAAATGGAGATAATTCGTTGAATTGTTCCGATACTATTCAGAAATATATAAATCAAGGGATCAATTCTCGTAAATTGGTTATGGGAATGCCGTGTTACGGAAGATGCTTTTATAACGCTTCTAAACCAGAAATTGGCCAACATTTCAAACTGGGCAATGGAGAACAAGATACTATCGATTATAAGCAACTTCCAATGTCGGGTGCTCAAGAACAGTTTGATAATAGAAAAGTCTGTGCCTATAGTTATGATCCAAAATCCCACGTCATGGTTACTTATGATAATCAACAATCCGCTAGAATTAAAGCTAAATTTATAGAACTGCACAAACTAGGCGGTGGTATGTGGTGGGATTCGGCCGGCGATGCCACAAACCCTGATAGATCTTTGATATTGAATTTTGTTGATCAATTAGGAGGAACTCAAAAGTTGGATAAGAGTAAAAATTATATAGGGTAAGATAAATAAATATTATTTTATATTAAAAGAGAAAGCAAATGAAAAAGAAGAATAAAAGCGAACAATAAAATGTTGTATATGAAAATGAACATAGGTAAATAAATGTACACTGGAAAGCTTAAACTTTTTTTAGAATCCTAAAAGTATATTGCTCACAAAATGGAGTCCATTCTTGCGAAAACGCTCAAGACAGCCGCAATTAATTCGAGTTGTAATTCATGAGACGAACATCTTTCGATTTCATCACCAACAACTTGACCTAAATTCATTCCTATGCCCAATGGACTTTGATGCGATAAATTAAAGGGGAATTCACTAAAGTCGTTCAACAATTCGTCAGCTCTTGCAAATGCCTGATCTCTTTTGTCGTAATTCAAAGATAATAAAACGTTTTCCAAAACGTTTGCTGCATACGATCCACATACTAATGCAATTGATCTTAAATATTTGAATGAAGTATCAGCTGGGAATTGATCATTTGCTAACGATTCCAAATCAACATTTCTTGAGTTTAACAAGTTTAAAATTCTATTCTTAATATATTCTTTAGACATTTTGTCGGCAACTGGATGTGTAGCCATGTCAAATAAAAAGAAATTTTTTCTTTCAGTTCTTAAAATACCCTTGTCTACCAATCCCTTTGCTAATCTTTCTCTAACCTGCTTCAATTGATAGTTTATTTTCATCAAATTCCATGTTTCGCCGGATAATAAGTCAATCCAGTTGGTGACGGACAAATGTGATTCGTCGTTCTTCATTATTTTAAGGGTTTCGTCTAACAAAACTTCTCCGGTAGGCTCTGTGTCAATTACTTCCACCAATCTGTCGGATAATTCAAATCTACGTCTGGCTGGATCATTAACCAACGTGATTTTATTACGAAAAGCCAATTCTAATAAAATACACCCACGTAACGCGTACGAAATATTATCGTTCCAAAACGACAAATATCCT